GTGTGATGAAGAAGAGACATGGCTTCCATACATTGATCTCTTGTTTGCTGGTCATTAGTGAAACCAAACTTCCTTCGTGATGTGGGCCCTCCTTTCAGTTCCACTCTGTTCTGTGATGCAGTGGGGGGTTTGGATTGACGTTGCACAGTCTTGATACGCCACTCAAGAAAACCTTTGTTGCTCTGAATGTCATAGAAATGCTCCTACAGAAAGAAAGAAATTGCATACAGAGTGTGTGTGTATATATATTTATATATATTTATATATACACACACACACACACACACACACACATACATACACACATATAAATATATATATGTGTGTATGCACACGTGTGTGTATATATAAATATATAAATATAAATATATATATATTATATATATATACATACATATATATTTACTCTTATTTAGCAAAAAAGTACATTTTACAGATTTTTGTTTTGTGTTCAAAATCCTATCTTTTGTTTAAGTCTTTTGGTTTTTATTCAATATTTTACTCAATATTGAATGAACACAGCAGTTTCTAAATTCTGGATTCTTTGTGTGCTCTCAGTGTGTCTCTCCGAAGGTGTTCAGGTGATATCTGATGGCTGGAGCACCTCCTCCCCTCGTCCCACCTCATCTTCTTCCTCACCCTCCTCTGCCTCCATTCCCTTGAGTAGCAGCGCCCCTTCATCACAGCCTCCTCCTCCTCACAGCTCCAGGTGAAACCCATCCCACAGCTTTAAATGGTAAATGTACTGGTTTTTCAGATTAAATGAACTATCTGTGTGTGTTTTCAGTCAGTACCCTTGTCTGTGGACAGTTGGATGCAGCGAGCTGAGCCCCTCCCACTCACCCTGCGCTGGGCTCCACCATGGACCAATCAGCAGCGAGGGACTCATGCAGCCTCCTGGTCACACTCGGATGGGCGGGGCTGGATGGCCGCCTGGTCCCACACACTCTTTCTGAAATGTGATGTGATTGGCCAAATTAATCAGTGATAACCCACTACACACTAGTAACCTGGTGGTAACCGTTCAGTGAGATTATTTGATAGTAACCAGCTGCTGGTTATTTGTACATAGAGTACTGTAAGCTTTCATGGCTACTCATATCATGCAGTTGATAAAAAATATATATATTTTAAACACTATTTGTAACTATTTATGACTATTTGTATAGATATCATTTCAAAAGGAATGGTTACTTGTATCTGCTTGTGGCTACAATCACATAGGGACAGAGATCCCCAACCCCAAAAATATGTAGTCTTCAACCAGTTGGCGAGCAGTTTCTGGCAGTTGCTTTGTGAAATTAATCACAAAGAGGGTGCTGCACAAAACACCTCCTAAAAGTTGCTTTGGTGGGTACCAGATTACCGCAGTGACTCACAGTTTTCAGGTAATAAGCCAACTTATCTGCAAATACTCATCAAGAGTTCATAACCCACTAGTGAAATTGGAAACAGAGACCGGTCACCTACTAGTAAAAGTTGGAGCCTCTTATACACGTTGGGTCCAGCAGTAAGACAAAGCATTTATCTGATGGTAAACCGTGAACTATGTATGCAAACTCTTGGCTAACATAGCAGTCTGTTAGTGACCAAAAGAGTCTTATGGAGGTTTTCTGGTGCAGCACCTTCTTTATGACAGACTTTGTGACCTAACAGCCAACAAGCACTCACCAACCATTCAGGAAATACACACTTTTTTTCCCTAGCGACCATAGGTTGACTTTTAGACCGAGGCCACAGGAAGTGGCTAGTTGGCTGCTTGTACCACAGCTATTGGTGGCTAGTATTTCATTTAGCAGCTGTGACTACTTATAGATAACAGTGACAACTCCTACATGGGAACTTCTAGTGGCTGTTAACGTCTGCTAGTGGCTGCTATTAGTAGATAAAGGTAATCACTGCTGGCCTTTGTTGCATGTAAGTAGCAGATACTGGTTAGCAACTGGTAGCTACATATGAGTGATGGTGTTATTTGAGTTAGTGGCAACCGTTTTAGTTAGCAGCTAACCAGTAAATACCTGTAAATAAAATGGTTACATGTACCTGCTGGTTGTTGATGCAATCTAATGAGCACTGGGGGCCACTTTTAAAATCTAATAGGTAAATATTTGCTAATGTCTTATAGTAAGCATCTACTGACAGCCAAATATTCTTTTGGTTACTTAAACTAAGCCAATACTGCTGGGTCCCCCCCC